GTTTGTGCTGTCTGGTATTGGAAACGTATCCTAAAAGTTTAAGTAATCCTTCCCAGTGAAACTTACCAGGATTGCTTTGGAACTGAGAAAATATATTAACAGCATAAGCTATATCCGGGACGAGTACGATTGCAAAAGAAACGAGAGACATCCCAAAACATTTCTATAAGGATAATTCATCATTTCAGTCGTTTCTTTCTTGTGTACTGGGACTTTGAGACTTTCACACCTTTAACTATTGGAAGGGAAGTAATTTGTATTTTAAAAGACTTGAAATCGATCAACTATGTCTTCTATATATAATTGCTGATGAATTAAAAACTATTTTTCCCATATTCAAATTCCACACCCAGAAGCTTTCTTGTTTTACCTAAAATTTTCAAATCAAAATGTGAACTCAGGACTTTTAATATCCTTTTGGCCTGAACTTCACTTTTCCCAAACACAACTATATCATCAACATAAACCAACAGAATGACAAAATCTTTAAAACGATAAACACAATTACACCACTCAAACTTGATGAACTAGGTTACATAGTGTTCTATCCAACTCGTAGTACCATAATCGGAAACTCTGATGTAAACCATACAAGGCTCTATCTAAAACGACACACAAAAGTTTCTTTATCTCGCTCTACAAAAACCCTGAGGTTGGGACATGTAAATTTCCTCTGATAAAGGAGCGTAGAGATAGGCACTTTTCACGTCACATTGTATATTTGACCCATCCAAGGTGTGCAACTAAAAGGGAGAAAAAGAGCCTTATTACTGAAAAGTTGACTACAGGAGAGTAGGTTTCATCATAGGTATCGTATTTAATTTGCCGATAACCCTGAGCCACTAAACGAGCTTTAAAACGAACAATGTTTCCAAATTCGTCACGTTTAATGTTAAAATTCCACCTGCAACCTAGTGGAGTCTTGTCTTTAGGAAGTGGAACAAGATGCCATACCTTATGCTTTCGCATGTTGGCCATTTCCTCTTCCATTGCCTCTATCCATTTAAGCTTTTCTGTGGATTTCTTTGCCTGGTTATAAGTGTTTGGAATTGAAACATCTAGTCAGCTATCTCGGGTATACGACGTTGAAGGAGTACCAGTTGGGTCGATTTCACCACTATAAGTATTGCTTCCCTTGAAATCAAACAAGGTAGGATCATACTGAATATTATGTTCAGTGCAATACCTTTCTACATCATTTGGTGATCGTAGTCTTTGATTAGACCCCCTCTCAAAATAATACACATCCGTACGAGTGCCGTCTGGCCTTGGAACAGGTTTACGAAGCCAAGTACTTGTCTCAATGTAGATTGAGTGTCAGTGCCAATTGTAGAAGAAGGTACATTGGTATCGGTTCTTTTCCTCTATTTCAGGAAAATAGCCAACTGGAGTGTCAGTAGATTGGAACTCTACCCTTTCTTCAGATTCCAAATCAGGAAGGGTGCCCAGTGCAGCTCCACTGCCACTTTTCTGCATTCCAATCGACTCTTTAAAAAGTAGCATTTAGGGTTTCTACTACCTTTTGCTTCATTTTCCAACCAAATCTTGTACCCTTTTGTTCGTACACTGTACCCAATCAATCGGCCCTTTGTTGCCTTTGGATCAAGTTTAGAATTTCTTTTAGCCTTTGGAATTCCCACATAGGCAATCGTTCCAAATGCCTTAAGATGACGTACTGATGGTTTCCGCTTAGTGTATAATTCGAATGGGGTTCTATCTTGGCCCTTATGACAAATTCTATTAAATGAATATGCAAAATACATTACTGCATCTGACCAAAATTTCAGAAACTCATTCCACTATCGTGTAAGATTGCACGTACATTATTGAGAGCTGTTTGATTAAATCTCTCACAAACTCCATTCTGTTCTGGAGTATATACATCTGTAAATTCGTGCTTTACACCATTTTTATTACAATATGACCTGAATTGATCATTATCATATTCTCGCCCATTGTCAGTCCTAAAGTATTTCAACTTAAGGTTCAAAGATCTTTCAGCACGTGCTATATGCCTTTCAAATACTTTCAAATACCTGACTTTTCTCTACAATGGGGTACACTACCACATATAACGAGAATATTCGTCAATAAAGGAAACGAAATAACGTTCACTATTTCCTACCTGGAATGTTAATAGGTTCCTCATACATCAGAAAAAAACCCTTTCCAAGCGGTCCTCTTTACTTGAATACCTTCTAAGGGTCTATAGGAGATTCGTCTTTGCTTATTGATTTGGCAATGTTCATAAAACAAATTAGGTGAGTGCTTTAACACAGGAAGACCTCGAACTGAATGTCTCTTACTAGTCCTGACAATAGTATCATAATTTATATGACCAAACCGACCATGCCATAATTCACTGTTATTATTCTGAACTGCGGATGCCTCAAATTTTACAGATTTGCCCCCCTTTTTGATTATTTTCGGGAATACATGATAGTTACTTCCTATCAACTTAGCCTTGTACAAAGTTGAATTTCATCATCAGTAACTTTAATTTGCCCATTTTACCATAAAATCTTGCTCCATTGATATCCACCCTAGGTCCAGATATTAAATTTCGTCTTAGTTCAGGTGAATATAACACATCTTTAAGCAAAATAACCGTATCCCCAAATTTCATTTTAACAGTACCCTTCCCCATGAATTGGAAAAGTTACCCCATCAATAGCTACTAGCATATTCTCATTTTTCACAGGAGAAAAAGTATCAAACAATTCACGATTTTTACAAAAATGATGAGATGCAGCCGTATCAAAGATCCAACTATCATCATTTTCTTCCAAATTGTTAACATTGGTTTGAGCTATAAAATGGGACTGTGCATGGGAATTATTACTTTTACTCAACTTAAGTTTATTCTTACACTTAGAAGATGTTTTATTACTACTAGATACAGCTGAGGAAACAGAAGAAGCAGGTGAGGGTGATCTGGAAAAATTACTTCTCATTCTACAGTATTTTTGAATATGACCTGGACGGCCACATTTATAACACTTAAGCCCTTTAATCTGCTTAAATTTGGGTTCACAGTGAGTACTTTGAACTTCTATAGTCTTATTGGAGTTTTCCCTATCTTTCTCTCTTAAATTAAGACGCGTTTCCTCTGCTAGAATTTCAAGTTCAACATTTTTAAAATGAACTTTTCATCTGGCCACCTCAAAATATTCTGAACTACTTGATCAAATTTATCCGGAAGAAACCTAAGAAACTGGAAACATATATATAAGTCTCTTACAGCCTGATTAATATCAGCTAACTGTTCAGTTACGCGTTTTAATCTAGAAGAAAAGAAACTAATACTTTCATTTGGCTTGAATTTTGCAATTTAAGAACTCTGAAAACAGGGACATATGTCTTGACCGATAATCTGGCTGGAAATATTTGGCAAGCGTATTCCATGCCACTACTGGGTCATCAATTTCACATATCAAGTTTCTTATATTCAGGGCTTACATTCATATAAATTAATGATAATGCCAATCGACTTCTATTTTGAAAGTCGGCAATAATTTCTTTTGTAATACCCTTAACATCATCTAAATCAGGACATTTTCAATACCTTTGACCAAAAGCCATGCAATTTTTTTTCATTCAAGACAAACTTCAATCTTTGGACCAGGTAAAATAATTACATGCATCAAGTTTAGCAATATTATGCATGACACTAACAGTAGCCATATTTGAATTTTAACAAAAAACCGCCCCCCACCCCCCCCCCAATCTCTTAAGTCCTAAATTAACTTTAAACTTCAAAAGTCTGCACTAAAAAATAACTCAGGAGCTACTGGGCCCATAACCAAAATGATGCTAAAGCAAAGTTTAAAGTTTAAAGATATTAAACATTTAGCAGTAGTAGCAATGAAAAGCTCCCTGAGTTATGTGTACAGACATTGAAGACAATAAAAGATTTTGAACTAACCAATTTATTAACAATATAATAAAAAAAATAAAACACATAAAAAAAATTTCACAATATTAGAGTATTAGGCAAAACATAACATAATCATTCATTCATCAAATATTTTTACCTGAACTCCAAAACACTGGCATTCTATACAAACAAATTTAAAAAAAAAAAAAAAAAAAAATGTCCTAAAAGTAAATAGTGACTATGCCGCCTAAAAATAAAGCAGGCTACCCATTCCATAAGTTCCATAATCAATGGTCAAGAGAAACACTTGAAAAATTTAAATGTTCTTGAAACCACTTAAAACCGGCCTAACGCCGTTTGCATAAGGAATCGTTACAGCTCACGTATTTTTAATTCCACCCTCCTTGAAGAAACATGAACGCTGCCTACGGCAGTCACTCACAGGACAGCCCCCGGAACTGAAGAACTTCAATCTGGAACCATCATCTTGTAAACCGGAATCAAGACATCCTTTCACCGGACTGCAGGCATCCTTTGGAAGGGGCTGGAAACCGCTCACAAACCAGCTGGGAAACCAGGAACTAGAAGGCAGGTTGAGCCAGAGCGACGCGAGATACTTATAGCAGAAGTAGGAATGACGTCATCTCACGGCAACCAATCAGCTATCGGCACGAATCGGCTTTTCAGATGACGTAACATTGTTTCGTTTTTGCATCTCAATTAGGTTGAGACAGTCCGTTTTCAATGCAAACAGTGGCAGCAAGAAAAGCAGTAGAAGTAACTACTATGTTATATTAAAATAAGGACTAAACTAAATAAACATTTCAAGGAGGAGAGATGATGCATTAAAAAGTTTGAAAATAAGCTATATTTTCCAACAGCTTCAAATAAAGGACAAAACTGATTTTCAACACAAAAAATTAAAAACTGCATTTTTAAATTTTTAGTTTTCTCCTTATTTAAAACATTACGACTAGAATAAAAAATTTAATTTTTATGTTGAGATGTTGAACAATTTTCAGATGGCTGTTTTAATTCAACCTGCTAGTGTAAATATTCTGAACATCACAATTTTAACAAAGAAATTACATATTAAAAAATGGTCTGAAGGGCCGAAACTTACGATTTTTGTTGCAATATATTTGGATGTAATGGCACATTTGCATCTTCTTCAGTATTCGCAGAAGAGCTTTCCGTGTAACTTCTAAAATTATTTATTCTTTCTTGAGCAACTTCTCGATTAGACTGAAAATTTTTGTTTTGTATCTTCTTTTTCGGAAGAGTAAATTTGATTCCACCACTTCCAGGAGCTTCTAAAAAAGCAAAAATGATTTAATGATGATATACAGTCAAAAGTCGTTAATTCGGACACCCATAATCCGGACCTCAAAGCTACAAACTTTCTGCGCATGCGTCTCTTGACGCATGTGCATAAGACCCTTTACCGCTGCGAATTTGCGTGTGCGCGTGCGCAAATACGTTTCCAATGCGCGTTTAATGTATAACGGACGGATAAGCTAAGCTAAATTATCTAATTTCTATTTCAGTTAATGTTGCAAATTGCGTGTCCTAATCTCGAATGGATCCGGATATTATTTTTGCAGACTGTTAGAGCAATTTTAAAAGTAAGCTTGACTTTCGATTATGTCAAAACAAATTTCCAAATATATTTACTAATATGTAAAAGGATATACAAACGAAAGTATCTTTCAGAGTCCATTAAACAAAAAGTAGAATTGCTGAAAAAAATGGATAAAGGCATATCCTTTGTTTATGTAATCAATGCCCGTCATTATAATCGCTTCGATAGCGAAGAAAAGTGATAGAGGTTATTGAAAACGAAAAAATTCGATGACAAATTAGTCGGTATTCTTGACACAGCAATTATAGGACTTGACAGCGGAAACTTTGTAATGAACACGAAATTATGTCTGTTAGAATTAAAGAGAATGTATTATCATAAAAAACGAAGCAACTGAACAAACTTACATTGAAAGAAGTTTAATAATAAAAAATAAGATTAAGCTTTTTTTTTTGTAAATTTGATACCTTTAGATCATAATTGTTCTTTTTTCGTAAATTACGGTTTCATTTTTTAATTTATAATTCTTACATGCCATTTTACCAGATTTAAACTGATTGATCTATAATCCGGAAAATCGATAATCCGGATCGCCGAAGTCCCGACGAGTCCGGATTAACGACTTTTGACTGTATATGCAAAAATAAAATACTTTACTCTTTTTGAATTTAACAAATATTTTCTATTTGTAAAAAGCAAATTTAATAATTTAAAGTTAATTAACTTTCATTTTCAGAGAAAGATTTGTATTGCAGATAAGTAATGACCAATTTCACTAAACAGATTAAAGACCCAAAGTTCCAATTCCTATACCATAATTCCTGAATTCAAACTGAAGGAATTTTCCCCTTCTTTCATAATTACACATCTAAATCTTTTTACTAGAGAATATACAATGCAAATTGCATAAACTGTTTCTTGCAAGAAAAATATTTAAATTTTAATTTAGGATGAATATTTTTCAACTGCAGAACAAGCGGTCTTGAAAATACCTTGCATGCTCTTACTAAAAATTAGAGGATATTATGGCACACAGAAATTTTCTATCGTAAAAGTTCAAATTGACATAATGGGAAAAACAGGGTCGTTGTATGACTTTTTAGCTTTTGGTAAATCCATTCTGCTATATAACTCACAAAAATTTTTATAGAGCCTTTAGTGCTTAAGACTGCTTTCAGACTGGAAGGAATTTTGAATCAATTTAGTGAATTAAAAAATAAACCTTGATGAATATACACAGTTATGAAAATAAGGTACAATAATTACAAAACTGAAAATGCCACTTTTATTCCTTAGATTTTAAGAGGTAGTTAAAAACATGGAAAAATCACAAGTGCTACATATCATCTCAACTGATGAAATATAACATTATTTTCTATTAAATAAAATTAATAATAATCTTCAGGAAGTAAAATCTTTTAAATTTTTGTTTGCTTATAGATGTCAAATCCAATCAAATATAGCCCTTAAAAATGTTCACTGAACATACTCATAAAATTCAATGGAAGTAACAACTGATTCATAAATAATAACTAACTAACCTATATTAGACTTAACGAAAATATCAAATGATACACAGGTTCCACATAACAGTATATTGAAGTCATTAAATTAATATCACAGATCTTAATGTGATAAAAATGCACTTGCATCAAAACTAAATTTTTTCTTTAAACAGCAATTAAAAACATACTGGATTTAAAAAATGCCTTCAGACGAATTAGTACTAATTTAGATGCCTTACGTTTTGAACTACCATTACAGAAATTATTATTTTCACTGCTAGGAGATGGAGTTGAAGATGGTGGCGGTGGTGGTGGAGGCGGAGGCTGAACAGTTACGTTGGAAACAGGAGTATTTTCAGAATTTGTTTCTTCTACTGCAGCATCAGTTCCAATTGGTTTAGGCATTTGAGCAGAAGGTAAAGTCACCGGTGGCTGACTGGTTATAGGCATTGAATTCATAAAGTACGGAGAACTGTTCATCATATAATTAAATTTAAAAAAAAAAAAAAAAAAAAAAAAAAACCAACACAAAAATAGTTCAAACAAGCATAAATTTTAATATATTAAAAAAAAAAAAAAAAAAAAAACTTCACAATCTGCTAGTTAAATTTTGCAAAGATCTTTTGACATTCATAAAACTTGACACTGACATGATCTTTGACATTCATAAAACTTGACACTGACATATCTTTGACATTCATTATTCATTTTTTGTTAACTATGTATGAGCTTAATTACTAAACAAATGTAGCAGTTAATTACAAGAGTAATTCTTGGTCAGTGGGATTTCAAGCTTGTTTATGTTAGACATTTTATTTGTTATCAGCCTGCAATGCATGTCCTACAGCTATTTCTTTTTCAAAGATTTAACTGCAGAAAATCTGTCTTAATAATAACTGCAATGTGCAATTTGTACTCAACCACCAAGTTTTGAAAACTGCATCAATTCAAGTTTTAACTACTTCATTTTCAAATTCTTGGTGAAAGCCTATCATTTCCGCTAGTAAAAATTTCTATCATCCTTTTTGAAGACCTATAAGCAAATATTTAAAGTGTTATTCTTTCAAAAAGTACATTAAGTTGAGGTGGAAAAATATGAACCAAATAATAATTAAACAAAGTTTTAAGAGAGAAATAGATCTGGTTGTAATGAAAGTTTTCGCCAAAAAAGGTTTTTTATAAGGTTAGGAACAAAACATGATACCAATACCTTTAGTGCAAGTAGTAACCAATACCTTTAGTGCATCACCCAAATCTATGATATTTTGATGTTTTGGTAGTTTTTCTTCGGCACAGAAACTTGGTGGCTGTGAGCCCCAAAACCAATCAACCTCATTTTGAATGTTCTGTGCAGAATGAAAGATCTGCTAGATCTGGCCAGAATGCACACCAGCAAGATGTAGCTGCTGGTGTGAAAAAAGGTAGAAGTCCGAAAGAGTGATGTCGGGCCTAAATGATGGGTGTGGCAAAAGATCCCATTCTAGTCCATATAGAGTTCAGCTGGTGAATGCAGACACACATGGTCTTGCAATATCTTGATGGAACATTACCTCTCTGCCCCAGAACTCAGTTTGACATTTTTCCTTGACACCAGCATCAATACAGACTAACATCTCACTGTACAACTTACTGTCGAGGGTTTTACCTTTTTCCAGACACTCTTTGTTGATAATACCATGGCAATCCCATCAGATTCAAAGCATGATATTATTGTTAGTCAAATTGCACTTAGCAATGTTGTAGACGGGCTCAAAACAAGTTAGCAAGCTCTCGAGTAGCTGCATACTGAGCTTCTTCCACAAGTTCTCGGAGGCGGGCCTATCAACATCAGTAGGCTGGCCAGAATGCTCTGCTTCTTGAATGTCATAGTCCTTGTTTTTGAACTTTCGGTAGCAAACCTTCACAGCGTCATTTTACAATGTTAGTACCTAAAGCTGTACACATGATTTGGTGACATTTTGTAGCTGCCTTTTTGCAGTAGAACTGGAAATAAATGATGATTCTAATCTGGTAGCATGATAGTTCCATTTTGGACACCTTGTACTTAATAATAACAATATTTGTTTAAAAATTTCATAACACATTGTTCTAAAGTAGAGGTCTTCAACCTGCAGCCCGCTGAAGGCATTTTGGTGGGCCCACATTTGAATCTGAAGAAAAATTGAAGAATTTTAAGAAATTTTGATTTTAAGAAAAATTGCCTTGTCAGCTTTTTGTCATAAAAAACTTTTTTTTTTCTTATTCTAGATATTCCAAACATTTTATTGACATGCCTGATATTACTTGAGATAAAATTTTCTCAAAGTGGTGAATTCTTCAAAAATTCCATTTTATGTAATTTTAAAAATACAAAATTTGACTATGCATAAAATCTTAATTTCATAAAAAGGATAGATTCTTATCTCTAACAGGTCGGCAACAGATGTCAATCTTTCGTCAATACTTCGCCAAAGATTACCTTCAGTGTGCAGCTCAAGGTGGCGCATGAGTTTAGTGACGAAAAAAGGTTGAGAGACTTTGCATTTCTTGTCGATATTATAGGTCATCTCAAGGGTTTGAACTACCGCTTACTGGGAAAAGATCTACTTGTTCATAATTTTTATTGATTTGTAAAACCTTTTGAGACAAAAATTAATCCTGTGGGAAAGTCAGTTGCTAAATCGGAATTCCACTCACTTTCCAAAATTGATGGAGTGTCTGAAGAACTCTACAACATGGAATTCAAACAATTATGTGCAATGCATTTCAAATTTGAAGAAATTCAAAGCAGATTTTCGATTTTGTGAAA